TCCCGCCGCCGCTACTCGCCAGAAGTAGGGAGCGGTGGTGCGACTCGGCGAAGTTTGGCAACAAGAAGTGGGAGGAATAGAGGTCTAGGGGGGAGCGGAATACCATGGACTGACCTGAGAGGAGAGGAGAAAATTCAGGGAGAGGAAGAGAGAGGGGAGGAAGAGGAGGAGAGGGGGGAGGAGGACCAGGAGGAGGGAGAGGAGCGGGGGGAGGAGGAGAGGGAAAGGAGGGGGAAGCAGGAGGAGGAGGAGGGGGAGGAGGTAGGGCGTAAGGGACACCCACACCCCACACACATCCACACGCACACACACCCGCGCAGCCACATAGAGAGGGAGGAAGGCGAGCGGCCCGATGCGCGCGCGCAGAGGAAGCCCGCGGCGGAGACGGGGAGAGGGGGAGACAGAGCCGAGCGAGAGCCAACCACCGCCGAGTCAAGATTCAGCGATTCCACAGCAATCGCCCTAATGACAACAGCCTCATAATATCTCCCCTAAATCCACAGTGAGTGCAGCATTGAAACATTTTGTTTCGCTTTTCTATTGGTCTGCGGCTTGTCGCTGTGGCGTTGCCACGGCAACCACTGCCAATCACTGTCAGCCCTGCCAATCAATACCGAGAACGTAAGGACGGTTTTACCACTTAGCCAGAAAAAGGAGGGGGGGAGGAGGAGGAAGGGTGAAGAGGGAGAAAGATTTTTTTTTAATCTTTGCAACTCTTAATCTCTCCACTTCCTCTCCGCCCCGCCACCACCCCCACCCCGGCTTTTCTTACTGTCTGAGTCCCCTTCTTCCCTCTTCCACCAAAGGAGTTGATCCAGATATCCGAAATGGGCACACAGTTGTTGAATGGAGAGCGCGATTAAAAGAGGGATTTTGTTGGGAGGCAGAGGCTTCCCACTCGGTGCTCCAACCAGAAAGCCAGCCCGCAAGGAGAGGCCTTCAGCCAGCCTGGCGGGCACCTTTGGTATTTGGTGTGCACGTCGGGTGAGCACTAATAGTGAAGTGGAAAAAGAGCAGATGAGATCACGGGGCCCACAGTCCACTGACACAGGTCCTGCGGGGTGGGATGCCTGGGATCCGGGGTTTGGAGGGCACCTGGCTTCCTCTGAACTCAGGGAGCGTGTGCCCAGGATCCAGGGTGCTAGAGGTGGCTCCTGTGGTCTTCCTGGTCAGCATTGCTGGTCACAGTTACTCATGTCCCACTGCACCAGTTTCTAACTGCTTCCAGTTTGCTTCACCCTCAGTCCTGGGTCTCCATTCGCCTTCCCTCCCCCACCAAGTAGCATTTTAAGACAAGAGTGGCATTACATACACTTTTCCCATTTTAATGTGCAATGTGTGTCTTTGTACCCCCCCACACACACACACACACATGCCCACACCCCTAGACTTCAGCTGCCTCCTCTAGAAGCTGAGGAAGCCGAGGAATGACAAGCTCAAGGTGCCTGCTGGCCTGCAGAAGGAGTTCTGGGCCTGCTCGCCTGCCCCAGAAGGGCACTAAACTTTAGAGGCTGGCTCTGAAGATGTGAGCAAGGCCTGTACATTGTTTGCTTGTTCATACTGATTACAAAGCCAAACCCTCCAGAGAGGACTCTCCTTCCAGCGCTGGTGGGCCCTAGGCCTGGCCTGAGTATTTTATGATTAGGTAGGTTGCTTTTAAGAGGCTGTAATCAACATCTTGAGCCCGTCTCCAGTCTGCTTTGTGAAGCTTCTGTAGCAATGAAAGTGTGATTTACGTAGATTTGCCCGGGTCAGAGACGTTTCTCCACCGCCCCCCCCCCCCTGCACTGTGTATATTTAGACAGGATTCGGTTTGGTGTTAAAAAGTGTATATTTTGAATGGATTCACACACAGTAGCCAACAATGCCCACATTGTCGGCCCGTGTACAGCGTGTATTGAGACGCAGCGTCCAGACTTCAACTAATCTGCCCTCAATAAAGCTGAAATAATTATCCTAAGCTGCCTTTCCAGAAGAAAAATCATTGAGGAATTCAAAACTTAAAAAAAAAAATCTTTTCTGCATTCCGATGCAGATCTGGGGGCGAGGCGCTTGGTCCACAACTCTTTGGAGAGCTCATGGAGGAGGGGGAGGAAGCAAAAGAGAATGTAAATAGGAAACGTAATGGGGGGGCGCCCCTAAAACCTTCTAGCTCCCACTCGGTTTAGGCAGTGACTCCAGCCACTCCAGGCCTTCAGCGCCGAGAGGTGCGAGCCAGCCTCCATGCAGGATCCAGGGTGGTAGGGCGGTTTGGGAGTGGGCTAGGGACCCTCAGCAGCCCACCCAGCCCGAGGCAACCTAGGTTCGGGGGTCATTAACCCGTTGACTGGAACTAGGAAACATTCCCCTAATCAAGACCAGCCAAACTCCACTGGGGGTGGGGTGGGGGCGGGGGTCTCTCCGCTCCATAGTTCTCGGTCTCCGCCATTAGTCCTTTTCTGCTCAGCTCGGAAGCTCTGGGAGGCCGTTCACGGCGCGACAGCCAGAACCCAAAGGTTGGGACACAAAAACAGACACTTCATCTTTTCTTCCCGATCCCTTTCTCTTGTAGCGGACGGATTATAGGCTAAGGGGTGGGAGGGGGTAGGGGCAGGAGGAGGAAGCCTGGGAGGAAGGATTGTAAAAGGGGAGGGGAGTGGGTATTGTGCCGCGTGTGGGGGGAGAATTCCTACGGGTGGGTTTCAGAAGATTGTGTTCAACTTTTTGAAAACAGCTCGTGACCCCGAAACTGCATCTCCCCGAGCCCGGGAGACCCAGGCGCCGGGCGGGCGGGTGAACCTGGCCAGCTCCCTCCCTATCCCCGCAGCCCCCGCCTCCACTTGGGGCCATCCGGTCTCTCCCCAGGCCACCCCGGCGGCCCAGGGAGGTTGGCAGGTGCCGTGGGCTGTGCCCAGAGCGCTGAAATCGAAAACCGTAGCCACTGGGGGGTGCGGAATTGAGGGAAATGAGGCTGGCACGGCGCTCCGAGACACCCCCGCCCCCCGCCTCAGCCCGGGCGTATGGCAGCCCGCAGTACCCCTCTGGCCAGGGGGCGGCCCCGGCTCGGGAGCGCAGAGCCCAGCGGAGAGAGGCGGCAGGG